GAGGCAGAGCCGGTGCTGCCCCGAGCTCCCCTGCACAGCCCAGCAGTGGTGGGTCTTTCTCCATGAGATGGCTTTTCTGCTAATGAGATGTCATAACTTGTTCATTTCCGTGTTATTTTTGTTCCCAATCAGTGGAATAAACTCTATAAAGACTGTATGATCAGTCCTCATTATCAAAGAATCATTATGCCCTGGTTCGTTATGATTGTGAATTAATAGACTTTATCTTGGCATTAGTCAGAAGGCATTGGCCCCTATTTCCCTTTTGAATAGCACTGGTTTTTTTTCTGTTTGTTTGTTTTTAAATGTGTCTGTGAAGCTACTTATGGTGTTTTCAGGCTCTGCCTGGGTTCAGTCTTTTCTAAGCCTCAACCCTCCTGCTCTGCATCTCGGTTATCAGAGTGGGATACCTGTGATCGTTGCATAACGAGGAAGGTGTGAGCAGAGAACTGAAGTGTTCCTGTGAGCCGGATCACTCAGCGAGCTGTTCTGTAGGTGCGAGTGTCCTCCCTGGAAGTCGTGGGCAATGCACAAATATTTAAGCAGCTGCTGGAGAGCAGCACGCCCAGTGAATCACCCAAGAAATTTCCTCCCGTCTCTGGATTGAGAAATATGGCAGAGCACCCTGCTGGCTTACAAACACCTTCCTCCGGGTTGCAATGATGTTTGTGTTTTATAGAAAACTCCTTATCAGCTCTTCCGTACTGTGTAACAAATGGTTAAGCGTGTTCCGAGCCGTGAGCGATAGATGCTGTAGCTGGTTGTGTACCTGGTGTTTCTAGATGTGAGGGGCAATGCAGAAGAACAGCCGTTTACAACTGTGTCCCACACAGGAAATGCAACTGCAGAGCAGCCCTGGGGTCTGCGCCGTGGTCGGGTGCTCCTCGGGTGTGGGTCCGGTGCCCTCGCTGCGGGGCCGAGGAAGCGGCAGCGGAGCGAGGACGGGATGCTCAGCACTGTCTGGTTGTGCATCAACCTGGGGACTCCGAATTGTAGACGCTGGGGACATGGTGGGGACCTGCACAGAGCTGGTTCCGTTCCCGTGCAGTGACCAGAGCCACTTGGCTGGCGCGTTGCTGCACCCGCGGCTCCGCAGGGACCCTGCTCTGCTGCCTTCTGCGACTGACTCTGCCTCTTGTCTCTTCTCTCTGTTGTGAACAGATGAAATCGTCCGACATCGACCAGGAGTTGTTCACAGAGAGTTACTGCAAAGTGTGCAGCGCCCAGCTGATCTCGGAGTCCCAGCGCGTGGCCCATTACGAGGTAGGACGCTCTCTGCTGCCTGTGGCTTTGTGACTCCTCCGCAGGCTGCCGTCGGCTCCTGCCTTCCCAGCAAGCAGCCACGCCAGCGCTTAAAGTTCCTCTCCGAAAAGTCAAGATTCAAATTAATGTTTTTACGGGTGGCGTCTTATTCTGTAAATGATGTCACCGCAACAGTGTCTGCTGTGTGTCTGTTTTTTTTTCTTCTGTCCAGATTTGCAAAGTCAGGCTGCAATCTGAACAGGACTGAAAGCTGGTTTTCAAAGAACGTAGTTAGCAAGGAGATCCGTTAAGAGTTCAGCAACACAAACTCAGGTTTTTATGTTCAAGGTGCTGTACTGTGCTCTGCTAAGTAGGAGTCACTGATTGTGCAGAGAATAGATTAGTAATTGTGAGTGTATTTAAATGCTTAAGAGGTAGGCAAGCAATAAACAATTAGAAAGGATATGTTATTAGAGACGTGTTTGAGCAGCAATTAACAGCACGGCGTGTCTTCCGAACAAAGGAAATTACTGAGGTATGTGCTCTGTGAAATCCTTCAAGAAAGGAAACCCGCTGCCTGTCCGTGTTCTGGCATCTCCCTGTGCCAGGCGGTTCTGCGGCAGCGGGGTCAGTCCTCATCACGGTGAGGGGCTGTCTTGGCATGGAAAGGAGACCAGAAAGGTTCCCATCCTTGCTCGGATGAAGAGGAGGTGCAGGGTCGCTGTGCACCAGGGGTTAGAGCGTGGTCCATCGCCCTTTGCAGGGTGTGAGCTGTACGGGGCGCAGGGAACTGTCCTGTCCCTGACCTGCGGAGGAAGGATGCTCGATGTGGTCCAGCCTCTCCTGGAGGGCTCCAGGAGAAGTGATGGAGGTGGAGAGCCTGGGATGAGGGATGTCTGTGCTCACAGGGGCTGAGGGGCTCAGCTGTGTTTTGTCCCTGCTTTTGGGGACACCAAGGCTGTTGGTGTCTGCAGAATTTGAAGAAAATCACAACCTGTGCTAAGAGGCCTTGAAGATGAAGTTTCCCCAGACTTTTGGTCTGAGTGATTAGCAATGGGTATGTGGGGAGACATTTGTCTCGGTGTGGCCGGGGCAGACGTACAAGAGTCTCAATCAGTGTACAGTGTCCGAGGGTGCTGTGCCGCATTAATGAACAACGCGAACAGGAGCGCATGTTTATTTGTAAGGCACTTTACACGCCTGCGTTGGTGAGTTCCTTAAGGCATCTCCTGGAAACGCTCCTGGCTGCCCTGGGTGTGCAGCAGAGATCCCTGGCAGCTGCGGCGGAGTGAAGGCTGCAGTTCTGGGGACTCCTTCCAGACCTTGATATGAGCGATGCGGGTGCCAGGGTTTGTCTACAGGAGGCAGAAGCCTTGCTGCAGAGACGGGAGCAGCGGCCGCTGAGCAGTGGGGTGCTCAGCCAACCTCTGTTCCTCTGCGCCTGTGGTTGTAGGTATGAGCCGAATCATTAATTCATGGCAGATGGTTTTGAGACGTGGAAAACAACGCTGTTTTCTGTTGTGTATTGCTGGCGCGAGGTGTTGTGCTCGTTTGTCATCCCCTGTGAAATCCCGGCAGACACTGTCGACGTTCGGCACAATAATGTCATTCCCTAACGCTGCCGCCGGGCTGCGGAACGCGGAGCAGAGGGATGGAGCGGGCGAGCTGGGGGGGCACTGCCCCAGCCTGGGGTCTCCTCAGACCCCAAATAAATCCTGCTCTGATGCTGTTTCTTAAGGAGTTTGGTCTGAGCATCTGCCCCGCGAGCGGAGGAGGCTGCTCCTTCTGCCAGGCACCAGCTCACGAGTTGTTTCTCTCCCTGGCCAGGTGAGCAGATCGAGTCTGTGGGCAGAATATTCAGATTTATAATGTCAGTATTCACAGTATGCCTGTTCTTGTGCAAAACTGTGGTGTTGAGTGTACCTGAGCTCTGTCCTGCCGGGGAACACCAGCCCTTGCTGCAAGCCACTTAGTTAATGGCAGGAATGTAAAATTCGCTGTTTCTTCCTAATTAAAAAGTAGCTGTTCACAATTTTCACATTTCTTTTCCTTCTTTCTTTTAAAAAAACACTCTGCAGTCAAAACTGATTCTTTTCACAGGAAAAATATCAACTTCAGAAGACTAAATTTTCTTTAAAAAATAAATTTTCATTTGATCTTCTAAAGTTGTTTTTTTTCAGCTTTTTGATTGGAAAAAAAATACTGTCAGTACCGAAGCACACGGTAAAAACATAAAGTTAATGAACTTTTTGCACAGAGCAAAACTGGTGCTGGTGTGGTGCATCAGCCGAGTCGCAATAGTGCAGGTTTCCCCCAGCCCCGGGCGCTCGCTGGTGTGGGGAGAGCTGCCTGGGGAAGCTCTCACCTCGCGCGCAGGGCTGGGGAAGGTACCTGTAGAAGGCTGCCCTGGAAACCAGCAGCCTCGAGCCCCTGGTAACGCACCTTCCTCCACGGCACGGTTGGGTTTGGGCAGCAGCACCCTGACCCCTGCTGAGCCTGAGCTCGGAGGGAAGGGGAATTTGCCTGCTGCCTCCAGCACAGTCGAGGACCTGCCTTTGTGCCAGGCACTGAAATCTCGGCTCCTTTGTGGATGCAGAATAAGACATTTCTCTGTAAGAAGAGAGAGGGAAACAGCGTATGAAAGGGGGATGTTTTTATCTTGCCAAAGAGGAATAGTCAGTTCCAATCGCTGTCTCATCTGCTTCTGCAAATCATCAGCCAATAACTCTTCTTTTCTTCTGCGCTACTTTGCCAGGAATAAAAAATAATTTGATGTCAGTCGCGCAATATTAAGCGGTATTATTTCCAAGGGCAAGTGTAGTGGAAAAATGACAAAAGAATCAGAGCGTTTGCAGCATATTTTTGCTTCCAGCTTGACATACAGCAAAATCCTGCCCTTATTTTGTGTGCTTTGTGCAACTCTGTCTCTGGCTTTGTCTGCTGTGCCTTTGCTCTCCTTTCCACCCCTGTGAAAGTGCCACTTTTGAAAGTCCGTGCCCCAGAGATGAATTTTTCCTTTTCTGTATTTCTGCATCTCGCTTTGCTCTGGAGTGGGACGCCTCTTTGCTGCCGGGTACTTTCTAGATCACCCATAATTTAACGCTTCCCTCCAGCTCTGTTTTTAGAGAGGTTGTATTCTTCCCTTTGGTGAGCTGCTCTGTAAATTTAAAAAGCCGAACTTTCTTAGCTCCAAGTCCTCATCTCTATAGAAAAGTGTTCACAGACATTAGGAAGATGTTACCATTTATTTTCAAGTTTCTTCTTGAAAATCCTGCAGAAAAAATACCAAAATACATCAAGTCGCTCTCAGATCCCGCCCTGAGCTGCATACTCATCGCCACATTTGCTCCTGAAGCTGCTGTAACACTTTTCTCCATTGTAATCTTTATTGCTTCAGGTGTTCAGATGGTGCTTTGCTTTTTCATTTAAAATGGAGAAAGACGGCAGGTCTGTAGGAAGGGAAGCCCAGGAAGGTGTCGTGCGAACGTTGGTTCACCTCAGAGATGAAGGGATGATGCTCCAGCGCTCGCGGTGGAGGGGAGGGCAGAGGCAAAGTGTATTAAAATTAAAATGCAGAGGAAACAGGGGAGAACAAATGGAAGCGCTGTGCCCTTTGGCTCGTCTCCGGAGCCGAGTGCTCTTTAGAATTTCTCACCCTGTCTGCGGAGCGGCGTGGGTGAGCGGTATCGACAGCCTCATCAATACTCTCTGTCTGCGCGGGGCTGGAGCGGTGCTGGGGTTAATCTGCTTCCCGTTGGGCTGTCCTTCCCCAGGAACGGCATAAAGTGACGGCTTGTCTGCAGGAATAATAAACACTGCTTACTATCGGCACGTTAGCACCTTAAGGACCAAGATGCGTGTGCTCAGGAAGGCAATCCTGTGTCTGAAATCTTAATGCGGTGGGAGAGCACATATGCTACTTAACAGAATAAATGCTGCGCTAGAGCACGAGGAGCTGGAATGTTCTGTCTGGTGCCAGCTCCCGCACGAGATGCTGCCGGCGTTTCCAGGATGGAGGAGTGGCGGGGATGTGCTTCAGCTGGAAACAGAGATCTCACAGGGCGCTGGCATGTCAGGGAGCTGGCGCTGGGTGTCACCGAAGGGAGCGCAGCGCTTGCTCGCAATGCTCTCCGTGTTCTGCTGCTGCTTACCTGCCAAGTGTTGGCTGGCTTTGGTGACAGCCACCTGCAAATACTTCAGAGGATGGAGGAGGAGGGGGTGTCCTGCCTCTTGTTCCCGTGTCTTTCCCCACAGCTGCTCTGCCGGGTGCACCCGTGGTACACCCCCGCTGTGCAAAGTTTAGTGGCTCCTCAAACGTTGCTGCTGTTCTGCAGATTGAGCTGGTGTTCGGTGGGAGAACTTGGGCTCGAGGAGAAAAAAAATCAGGCTGACGAAAGCTTTTTTTGTGGTTCAGTTGCAAAGCGATGAAGGTGCTGATTTGTTTTTCGTATGTGCACGCGCAGACCTTCTGCGGAGGGCCTTGGGATGGGCTCACGTTGTGCTAACTGCAGCAGTTAACGTATGTTGAGGTGCACACGGCCACACGTTGCACGTACGTGGATGTCGGTGTTTCGTGGCGATGTGCTCCTGCTGCCCCTTCCCTGTTCCGCGCACAGTGAGGACAGACTGACCTGGGCAGCGCCGGCTGCTGCGTCGCCCTGTGCTTCAGGAAACCCGGGGAGGTTAAATGGTGCTTTACCAGGCTCTGTGTTACTACTCTGTTGTCAGCATTAATGGCTCAACATTATTTTTAATGCATTCCCGATGTCAAAACCTATTGCTAAACAGCAGCAACAGTAGAGCAGGTAAAGCCCCGTTGTACAGAACATGTACAGAGTGCGCAGAGTCCCAGTTCTGGCTAAAAATAGCTGGAGGTGCTTTCAGAGCAGCAGTGAAGCGTGCTGGGGATGAGACCCCGGGGTCAGCGGCGGTGGAGCGGCACGCCCGCGGCAGCGCCGTCTGCTCCCCGTGCGCACGAGGCACCTGCTTGTTCCAGGTATTTGCTCTAGCTTTTCTTTAAT